GAATGTAAAATACCTATAAAATTTTTGCATTCCTACACTACCATACCTGCATATTTATATTATTCCCTAAAAATTAAAAACTAAAAATCGAAAAACTCTAATGTTTTATTGATGTTTATGACTTTCTTGTTGTGTTTTATTGTAATTGTTTATGTATTATCTAATTTATTGTATTTTCTTTAGTGCTATTAGTTTATTGTGTTAGTTAATTAGTGCAGGTTACTTAATTGAATTGTCAAAATAATTCAAAATTTAATAACTAAAAATATGTGTTCATCCGATTTTCTACCCAATTATTTTGGACCGAATTTAAGTAAGAATAGTACATTTGATCAGATATGATAGACCAAGAACAAATTGTGAACACCTCTATTTTGGATAGCCTAACTTAATGTGCATGAGGAGGCTTCTTTTAATCCAATCACGTTCCGTTAAACTTTGCAACTCAAACATATGGCTCACACTTCGTTAATCTATACTATTAATAAAAGTAACTTAAGTGAAAATTTTTTGATTCTTCATTTTACCCTTATAAAAAATTTTAATTACCATATTATCTTTCTATAGTTAATTTTCTAAATTACAATCACATTCTTATATATTTAAATCTTTAATTTACCCTATAACATTTCTTTTACTTCTATATTATCTTTGTATAAATATCGATATCTATAAAAAAAATAAATTAATTGACTACATTACTCTTGAAAAATATATGCATTATTATAGTTTTCAATAAAGTGTTCAAAAACTTCATCAATAAATCATACTTTTTTCAAATATATGGATAATATTATGACTATATATATGTGTATTTTTTTCCATCTATACTACTAATACAGAATGAAACTTTTGTCTTCGCATAAAAAATTTTTGATTCACTATTTTACTCGTATAAAATATTTTAAATAGCACACTATCCTTCAATATTTGAATATCTAAGTTGCCATCATATACTTATATGTTTAAATCTCCAAATTACCCCTAACATCTCTTTTAATTATTTATTTACTATGTATAAATATTAGTATCTATGAAACTTTTTAAAACATATATGCATCACTATAATTTTTAATAAAACGTTCAATTTTTTTTAACATTACTCATTTTAAATATAAAGATAATATTATCCTCACATATGTGTATTTTTTTCATTCAAAATTTCAACCATTTAATTTTTAAGATAAAAAATAATCTTTTACGTAATTTTTTAAAAATAATTTATATTAAATCACCATAATTCTTCAATTACAATAAAATTTTCATATTTTATTACGAGTTTATATAAAAAAATTATATTGTATTTTTAAGTAAAACTTGAATTTTAGAATTTTAATATTATTTTAAAACATATATTATAGAGTAGTATATTATAATTTAGGGTGAATAACACTTTTAGTCCCTAAAATATGCATGTTTTGTTAGTTTGGTCTTTAATGTATCAATTTTGTTAATTTGGTCATTAAAGTACTTAGTTAATGTCTAAATGATCTATATACAGACAATCTGATAAGTTTTTTTTTATAAAAGTGATCACGTAAATCTATTTAACGGAATAACTTAATTGACCATCTGGTTAGGGACCATTTAAACAAGAATTAAATATTTTATGGACTAAATTGATAAAATTTATATATTGAGGACTAAACTGATAAAAAGAGCAAACTTTAGAGAACCAAAGTGTTATTAATCCTATATTTTATCCCTATTAACCTAACTAATTATAGTTAGCATTAATTAGAATATTAATTTTTTTAAATTTTTTTTATTCTTAAAATAATGAATCGTTGAGAACAAACAATATTTTCAAATTCAATATTATAATACGAGGAATAAAAAATATAATTTTGATAAACTGGAAATAATATTTAATATAGGTACATATATACCTAATACTTTTTATTAATATTTTGTATATGAAAATAATTCACGTGCAACGCACTTGATGTATTATTACTAGTATATCAAAAAACAGAAAATGAAAACCTCGACAAGAAGATAAATTGAATAAGTCAAATGAACAGGATTTAAATCTTTTTTCTTTAAACATGAAAAATGATAGGGCTGTGGGGGGGGGGGGGGGGGGGGAGGGAGAGAGAGAGGATTAGGGAAACTTTTGATATAGACAAAAGCGGAAAGTTTTGAGAGAGATTAAATGGGAATGCTCAAGTGATTTTCACAAAATTCCATATAATTTTCCTATAATCTAGCCATCTTGTCTGCACCCATCTGCCACTAATACTATAGGTTATGTATGCACTAGCTTTTAAGTATTTTGGTAACGTTTAGTAATTTTTTTGAAAAAAATATTATTATTTTTTGCATTTGAAGGATTTTTTAAGCAAGTTTTGTTGTCGTATTTTTTGGTTTTTTTTTCTTGCTAGAACTTACTTACCTTTTCTAATCATAATCACGTATATAATAATCTATAGTATACATATAAAAAATTATAATTAATGTACAAAAATGTATCTAGGTTATTTTTGTAAAATAGTCTTAAATATGCTTTTACTTTTTTGACAAAAAAAATGAAAAAATGGATACCCTAAATTGAAGGCCCACATCAACCAAGCTTACCTTCCTATTGGCCTACTAGAATCACAGGCTAGCCCAGACCAATTTGTATCAACCAAACAGGTTCTAAATGGATCACATGGCCCAGCCCAAAATGGATAAATCTCAAATGAAACCCAAAATGGTAATAATATTATTCTGGTGTGGGCAGGTACATAGGGCTCACCGACTTTGTACAAAGCGTTCGTTGACAGATGAAATGGAAAGTTGTAAATAGGACCGAATAGAAAGAAATCATAATACGAATCAAACCTCCACACGTCTGTATATCCCATCTCCATTTCTCTCTCTTCACCTCTCGATTTCTCCTATTATTTCACGATTATATCTTCGATTAAGGTATGATAACGCTCTGATTTGTAATTTTTTTCATTGATTCGATTTGGGGATTTTGGTGAATATTATTAATCTGTTGTAATTGATTTGTTATGAATAATCAGGTTCAGTTTTGCCGAGTCAAGATCGGCCAAAGCTCTTATTTTGATTAACGGGTGAGGGGTTCCCTGATCTTTTTGCCTTTCTCACGATTAGGGTTTTGCTAATCATTTCTATTTATCTCATATTTAAGATTTAATTTTAAGATGTTTGCATATAAGTTGTTAGCCTTTTGTGTTCAAAAAATTTGAGTGGTAGGGTTTAATTTTATATATTATTCTATTTTCATATATGTTGTTAGTTAGCCTTCTGTGCTAAAAGTTTCCAGAACCCAAGTGTCACCTAATAGTTGTCACATCTTGTGAAAGTTACTGTTTTGTGAGCACTCTCATCCTAGATGCAAGCCTAGAACTGCAAAATTTTATTCCATTATGTGTCGTTGCCAACAATAGAAAATTTTTCTTCTTTTCTGGTACCTTACTAAATTACACCATATTGGACACCTAAATGTCATTTGGGCAATTGTTTTTGTTTGACTTGTTTTGGAAGCTACTGTTATAGGTTGTGCATCTTGTGAGCTATGCTTGTGTATAAATAGATTGTTTAAAGCTATGAATCTCTTACTTTTCCTTGTCATTGTTACTCTCTCTAGTGTTTTCATTCTTATTTTAGTTGTACAATTTTTCTTGCTGAAACTGTCTATGACTAAATCTTCCTTCCAAAAATAGGATGAGACATATGGTGGTCAGTGTTGGTTAATTTTTCAAAGATATAATCTTCTGAACCATTCTTTCTATAATAATATGGGCTTCTTCCATTATTTGATATTTTTCCCTTTTAAGAGTTTTTGGTTAGAATTCATAGAAAAGAAATCATTTTAAATGGTTAAAAAAGAAAAAGACAGAGCTAGATGGTTCCTTGCCATCAACTGAGTCTGAGAACATAGTCTTATTTGCTCTTGCCATTTATATTTTTGGTGAGCTATTGAAGGTAATTCTTCTTCTCTCTGACAATTTCAAGAAACTTTAGTGAACCAATGATCTAATGGTTGAAAGTTGGAGTCAAAAGACTGCTCATAAAAAAGGATGGTGACATTGCAAACTCTGTCCAGCATTTCTATAAGGCACCAATATGTAATTGCTAGGTAGAGTGTAACAGCTATCTCAGTACAATGCTACCTCTTCCTGCTGATTAGGGAATTGTTTTCTTCTACATTATTATATGATATTGTTCTATATTACATTTTCATATGAAACTGTTCTCTCCTAGTATATGACATTATTTATTAAGTAATAGATTAGGCTTAATCAGTTTGTAACACTAGTCTCATAATTAGATGATGTTGCATCCAGGGCAGCTGTTATTTGAAGTTGGAAATGGGTTGCACACTGGGGGCTATCCAATCTCACTTTTGTTTCCTTATCAACCTCATGGACCAAATGAAGGCAAAGATAGATCTAGGTCTTTGTAAAAAATTTTAATTGGTTGATTAGATGGCACCGTTTTAATGGCTCACTGAGATTTAGTGAAAGTTGCCATCAGTGTATTAAGCGTCATCGTTTAGATCTTTGTTTGAGGCCTAATGTGTAATTGTTCACTCAGTTATATGTTTATAATCACTTTATCACTATGATGGTGACAATTCAAGAAGAGGAATTGATGACGCATGTTGGTGAGTTGCAGCTCCTAATACGTCATTCATGAACTGGGTTGTTGTCTTGCACAAAAATGATGCAGGAAGAAGAAGAACTTAGAACATCGAAAGAGGAGAAGTAAAAAGAAGAGATGGGGGGCATTTATCTCGTCCTCACAAGGAATTGGTCAAGAAACACAAATTCTCCATAGAAAATAATTTTATTAATATCAAACACTAATTACATCAATATTTATTGGCTAAGTCTCCTATTCAAGGATCAAAATTTTGTTTCGGAATGTTCGAAACATTTCCGTTTTCAAGGAAACTGAAACGAATCAGTGATAAAATCAAAATTCTAATACTTCGAAGTGTTTCATATTATTTCAAAGTGTTTTGTAATGTTTTAATGCATTTACATAATTGTTTCAGAATGTTTCAAGATATTTTGGTATATTTTGACCAATGTTTTGAAAAAATAATTCTTAATTTTTTTATTATTTTGTTTCTGAAACACGTCGAAATGTTTCAATTTCCTAGGTGACCGAAATAATGGACCGAAATAAAATTTTGATCCTTGTTCTTACCAAAACAAAAGTTATTATCTCAAATTAATCTCCTATTAAAACTATATAATAATTTGCTAATCAAACTCTTACTAATATTCCTAGTCAAATAAATATTATCCTTTAATATAATAATATTATAATAAATTCAAATTATTCAATTTAAGTTTATATAATCCATTTTTGATCTCCATCAAAAAAGCATCTGGATCAAGATGCATAATTCAAAGTTTTGTGCTTGAACAAATGGGGTATCTTATGGCTACTATTAGCTGTCCCATTTCTTGTTCGGGAATCTTGTAACATTAATCAAGATTGTGTGTATATGATTATGTTTGGCCTCCAGTTATAGGCTTTGTAAATATGTGTGTATTACAATCAATAGGTTTAATTACATCAATTGATGGTGCCGTATAGTCCATCTCATAAAGTAATAGCTTGAGTCACTGTATGTAGTAACAACTTACTAGGTGGTAAAATGTCTTTATGGTGGTATCCTTTTTATTTTTTGTGCTAAGAGAAGACTTTATTTGATATTGGCTGCATTTGTGTTAATTATGGAATTTAATAGCAGACCCCAAAAATGTTCCCAAGGCTTTGTTGAGGTAAGCAGAGTTGAGTTTAATATGCGTATTTTTTATTTTGTAGCAGTATTAAAAGGAATTTTGTAGCACAGTTTAATTAGATAGTAACTCCATTGACAAACAATGGTTGAGCAATTATTTCAATTCAGTTACTTTGCATATGGATTTTCATTCCTGCACCTACTCTTAGTAGGTGCTTAACCCCATTGATGATTTATACCAGCAAAAGATGGTGAATTGGTCATATTAACTAGTACTAGTATAAATTTAACTTAGTTTCAAGTATGGTGTTGTGCTTACTAAAAGCCTGATTAGTCGGGTCTGCCTTTGAAATTATACAAGGGAAGAAGGGTTCATATATATTTTCCTATGATATTTCTTTTGCTGATTCTGTCATATAAATGATGAGGCAGTTGTCATATCCTTTTGTTTTGTGCTTGAACGCATTTTCATACACATATTGTACGGTCAGGTGGCTTTAAGTATCCGGTTGCATTTGATATTTTTCTCCCTATTGATTGTAAGGTGCCACATGAGAGATGACCAGATTGGATTTCCATCAATGAAAATGATATAGACTATAAAGTAAAAAATGAAAAAAATAATTTCTAATTACATATCACAAAACGATTTTCAATCTAATTGAAACAAAGCAATTCTAGCAAGATGATGACACACTGAAAATCCAGAAGAATCCAAACCACAGATTCTTCCCCTCTATAATACACCACCTGACACTGCATTCATCTCGACAGTGTTGAGCTTTTTAACTTCCTCCAAGGCCCCAAAACTCAATCTCAAACATAGCAATGCCAAAACTTGAGAAATCTAACTCTCTTCTACTATATCAAACAATCCTTTATGTAATGAGAAAAGAACTGGGCAATGAAGAAAGAAATTATCAGTATTTGCCTTACTAGTATTCTCCCTACTCCTTTGACACAGTGCACTGGTGAGGAAGCGAAGAGTGATAAGGTCTCCTCCTTTGAAGCAAGTCATTAGTGTTAAGTTTCTTTGATCAACAATCCAAGATAAAACTTGGACTTTAATAGGTACTTTTGTTGCATTTTATGCTTCTAGTCATTGAGATGATTCTATGGCAGGATATATTGGATAGATGGAGTCTTCCAAAGAGACAGGCTGCCGAGCTCCAGAAGGCCCCATTCTTTGCGTTAACAATTGTGGCTTCTTTGGTAGTGCAGCCACTATGAACATGTGTTCCAAGTGTCACAAGGACATGATCTTGAAGCAGGAACAGGCAAAGCTTGCAGCTTCCTCCATTGAGAATATTGTGAATGGCAGCTCTGGCAGCAATGGGAAGGAGCCTCTGGTTGCTGGTGCCGTGAATATGCAAGCTGGACCTGTGGAGTTGAAGGTTGCTCCTACACAAGCAGCCAGTGATTTATCCTCAAGCCAGAGTTCAGAGGCAAAGGCGAAAGAGGGTCCAAATAGGTGCAGCACTTGCCGCAAGCGTGTGGGTCTAACAGGTTTCAATTGCAGGTGTGGAAATCTCTTCTGTGCAGTTCATCGCTACTCTGACAAGCACGACTGTCCATTTGATTATCAGACTGCGGGTCGGGATGCTATAGCCAAAGCCAATCCCGTCGTTATAGCAGAAAAGCTTGATAAGATCTAGGAGCAATGGAGTGAAGGTTTTTGTACTGAAGTATGATGCTTTCTCCCTGTGTCTCCTTATAAGTTGGTCACTTGTCTTGGTAGGTGCCCTTTAGTCAAAAGAATGGTTTAAGGCACGAGAATGGAGGGCATCTTTGCAAGTCTAATGAACTTGCAAGTCCTCAATTGGTTACTGTTGCTTTGCTTGCTCCAGTGTATAAGTCTTTATTTGTGCTGGCTTGATGGATATCTCTGGTGGAAATTTGTAATTTGTTGTGTTTGGTTGATTTGTATTTATCTGGTTTTATATGTCATAATGGTTTGCAGCATGCCTTTGGTACTAGAATTGTGTGCTTTCATTGGTCTATGTTTTTTTTCCCACCAGAAGGTACATGTTTTGCATAGTACTGAAATCCTGTCGTCAAGATATGATCTGATTGTTTAGGTATGAGCATGTATGGTTTGTTTTCCCTTTTTTGTTCCATACATCAGCTTATGGTTCCCAATAGTGTTCTAATAGTGTTAGTTTATTCCGCCAAGTCTTGCCAGTTGCCACAATGTGGGTAGTAGTTTTCTATCCACCGCTTATTCACATCTATCTGTTCTCTTTTTCTCTACATTTTCTGGCGAAAATATTGATCCGTTTGCCGTGGCATGATTTACATTGATGCTGCAACTTGCCAGTCATTTCCTTATTAGTGGTAGCTTTCTTCTCTGAGATTTGCTTGCACAGTTCCTTTAGAAAAGAAAAAGAAAAGCAAGGGCTGGGAATATAAGTATAATAGGCCAGCAACAGCTACAAGATTGAGTGGTCATTTGGCATGAGACGCGTGGAAAATTGAGTTGCATTTTGGAAGATGCTTTGGAAGTTCAGAATTATTGCTTGCATGTGTGTTCTCTGTTTTTCCACAAAATTCATATGTTTCATGTGTTCATACCTGTTGTTTCTCCGGATATGTTTCCTGGTATGTTGATTGAATATTGTTTCAATGCGTATGTGCCGCAAGTTATGCCTTGTAGTGTTTAGTCGTTGGTAGTGGGCCACACAATGTGTTTTGTGACAATAAGTCCACTATCTCTTCAATAAAAAGTGGAGCTAATAGCTCTAAAGAAAAACACATTGATGTAAATTTTCACTATATCTAAGAGTCAACTATATTCTCTCAGGAAAGATGGTTGTCGACCTTATGACCAAGGGGTTGACTTTGAAAAGTTTGGAGAGAATGTAATTGCAATGAGTTTGAGAATCACCTAGGTGTTGTGATGTTGCAATGTTACATGATGAAGGACATCTTTAGAGAAATTTTGGAGATGCCTGAAATATATAGAAAGATGCAACTCTACTTGATTAGAAATAAGAATTGGTCGGATAAAATGTAGAAGAAACTAGCAAGCATACTAAGGTTATCACGCACTCATGAGTGTGTAGTCTACTTTGAGGTAACATGAAATCTCTGCATAGTCATCCAGGTGCGGGCGTATTAAGTCATCGATAAGGTGTATTAAGAAAAGCCTCTTGATACAGAAAGGGAAGGAAAAGAGAATTCTCACAGGAAATACATTTATTTATCCTATTAGGTCAAGAAACACAAATCTCTGCGGACAATTTTTAAATTAATATTCAACTCTGATTAAAATAATATGGAATCCATCTATATAATAAGGGAGCTAGTCCTTGTATATAGACCGAGTATCTTACCGTAAATGAACTACTTCCCTAAAAATTCTATCTAACTAAAAATTCAAATAATAAATATTAAAAATAGGATAAGTAAAGAGCAATGTTTCACAAATTTAAAAACTTGACTTGATAATAGAAGTGTTATATTTGTCATTGATTTAACTGTGAATCCCAATATTTATTGGGGCCCATTACTAATTCAATAATATTTATTTATCAAGTCAAGTTTTTAAATTTATTGAGCATTTTCCGTAAGTAAATCCAATCAGATGCCTCAAAGTCCTTTCACTTGTACCTACCAAGAGGTGAATATTACATCCTCAATCTACAGGAACTCAGATTGGATGGCTAGGCTGTAGAACTTTCTTGTGTAATCCTCAATATACATATTTCCTTGATTCAACTGCTTGAAATATAGATGAACTCGTTGCCTATAATTAGCAGGCACAAAGTCTACTACAAACTTCCTACATCTCAAACAAGACCTCAAACGGATGAGAATAGTCAAGCTCCGTGTTGATACTCCTCATTGACATTCTCAACCTCTCGATCCATTTCTGAAAAATGATAAATAGGAATGAGCTTGATAACCCAATAAGATAAATTTTCTCAAACATTAACAAAGTTTTGAAAACATAACACAATATATGCGAGAGGTAATTTAACATAATTACATGAGTACGTAAATAGTAATTCCAGCGTATGCATTACAAAACATGACATGCATGGCATAGTTTAGTAAATTAGTTAAAATGCAACAAAACATATAAATCGATTTGAAGGCCCTAGCATGCCACAAATGTCAACATAACAAACCAGATATCACCTAGTCCATTCATTAACTGTAACACACCCTAGCATAACTTTAGGGTCTCTCACCCTAGGGACACTTTGCCCTTTTTTTTTTTGGGAAAATTAGTACTAGGCATCCACCACCACACAGGTAACTGCAATCCTCTGGCACCCCTCACTGATCTCCCAAGGCACACCATCCACAAAACCTATAGCGTCAATTATTAGAAAAGCGTATAATATGCATCCACAGTACCACACAAACAACTACCACCCTCTACTATCATTCACTAATTTTTCCAATATCAATACTGTGCATCTATGCTACTAGATCAGGCCAAAATAATATCTCATAATAATATCATCACACTGGGTCAAAATAAATATCCAACAACATTTCATAAACCGTAACATTATTTTTACTAAACTTACGTCCTTAACATGGTAATATACTAAATATAGCATATGACATCTTCATTGATAGCTGCTAAAAATATCCAAATCACGAAAATCCTCCCTAGTTCGATCAAGGGGTTGTCAAAATTCACACTTAGAACTCAAAAATACAACCCTTGGATGACTATGTCATCCTCAAATGAGGTGCGTAATCGATTGAGTGATACACTAATGAGTATTTGATGAGTACATAGGGAAATATCTTTTTGATTGCAATGATAATGAAATTATCATGCAATACTTTTAAGTATGAAACGTTTGTCAAGACCTTTCGTAATTTTTTGTTCGTTACGCTGTGTATATGGAGTGTTAACCTTTTGCATTTAATAAATTTTTTTAATATCAAAGATGATGTAAATAAATATAAATGTATGATCTTATTTTTATTGATTGGGATAAGAATTGACTTGTTAAAGTGCCCACCTAAACATTACTTTCTGGCTCCGACCCTGTGCCAGAGTGATATAACCTCTACACCCAATCTTATCAACAAAAGTTGCTAATAAAGCAAGTTTTGCCATATTTTCAGACAAACTTGACACTCATTCGTGGCAAGCCAGTGTCAATAAACTAGAACATCCAAAGCAGCCCAGTTGCAGTAATTTTGAACATCACACAAAATAAGTGGCATGAATGCCTCTCTGTCCTGCCGGCAATTTCTTTTCAGAGTCATGCTACTTGAAAAAAATTTATGACCAAATTTGCTAACCAAATCTAATGTTATCGGTGGATCTGCAATGACAATGTGAAGTCAGCATGAGATATACAGCATATTAGATTAAGCATCAGTAGAAGTTGATCTGTCTTGCACCACCTAGCAAAAGCCACGCTATGAAACCATAATCAGAGTTTTAAGTCAAAATGGTTAGAATTTGAAATAGAGTAGTTAAATACAGGAGGAATATTTCAACTAGTACTTGAGATCAATGTGACCTTGTTTTCAAGGTTTCGGGCACTCTGGCTATCTCACCTCATACTAGCCAATAGAGTTTCGATTAGAATAGAACTTCTTAAGAGATCATTCCTTTGGTCTAGATGTGATCTTAAAACTACTAGTCCAAAGTGGCCTGCTCAGAAGTTACTAAGATCAAACAGGAAAGGGGACTTGGCTAGAAGTTATGATTGGAACAAAGCCTTAATGCTGCTCGGGTACATATGGTATACATTCACTGATAATCTTTGAAACAGCAGGGTGAAAGCCATTTATCTGAGAGGGAAAAATCTCTGGAGCTTAAAATTCTGAGAGTTTCATGGAATTGGAGAAAGCTTCTAAGAATGAGAGAACTAGCAAGACTTCTGGTTAAACACATCATAGGAGATGGAGACAACACCAGCTTATGAAAAGACAATTGGCATCCAAGTGGCCCTCAGCTGCCTAAGTGGTATCATAGGGTTATTGAGGACTCTGCTCTGCCTCTCAATGCCAAAGTGAGAATATATCAGATGGACATCATTGGACCTGGACGAGTCCAACTAATAATAATCTTCTTGAGATGCAAACTTCAATGCCCACATGTAAAGGAGTTCCCTAAGGATGTTGTGGAACAAGTATAACATGCACATCAAATAAGTCGTGTCCACGAAGTGACGCCATTTCATAGGGAGCGTGGTCTTCCCGATGTAGTTTGTATTCCACAGACTGTCCCACCGTTGGCCCCATGACCTACTTTGCCTATTCCATATAAGGACTTTTCTAATGATGCTGAGGATCCTGTTGAGGAAGTGACACATGAGCCATCACTTTCACACAGAGGGTGAGACAGAGGTGGGCATGGAGTCAATCATCTTTGCCACCATGCATATGATCCTGTAGATGGTAGAGTGACTCAAGAGATTCCAGCTCTTCCTGATGGACAACGGCCCAAGTGATAGAGGAGACCACCACCTTGTAGGATGTAGTCCATTTTTTTGTCTATGTTGTATATAAATTGTGTTAATCAGTGTTGTATATAAAAACTCTTTGGGTTCATAGTTTGATATAGTGTAATTCCATTACTGCATTCAAATTAGTTATCAAATACTCTAAGCAACGTTTTTTTAAGAACATAGCACAATTTATTGAAGTACAGACTAACAAGACTAACTGGAGAAATACACCATATTTCCTAGAAACATAATAAAAAAATACTAGAAATACAAATATGACGACCGAAGTCTAAATGTTACAACACAAGAGTTTCATAACACTTCATCATGGGTCTTCATCTTCGTCAGACATCTCTACATCAGAAATACATCCAGCTTCCCCACTTAGTTGGAAGCTTAAAATTACTTCTTGTATCCTCTCTTCTACAGCACGGTCTCTTATGATACGACGAATGTTGTACCGATTGCAACGGATTACCATTCGATTGTTCTCAGCTCGAATACGAAACAATGCTTGCTCTAATTCTTGAGGAGTGGTAATAGGCATACAAATGGCAAACTGTCGAGACCTTCTTATGTTGTAAGAACGTAAATCTAAGCTCAGATTTTCTCTTTCCGTCTAACGATATTGCCATTCCGTCAAATGAACATAAGAGATTTTCTCTTATGTTCGTGAATAGTGTAAGCGAGTATTCATTGGATAGAAGAACTCATCCTCTAATGCCTAATGATAACCTAGAGTTTGAAACACTGTTCTAGGACTATAATTCTGGTTAGAGATGAAGTATGTACATTGAACATTGCACATGAGTTCAAACTTATAGGCATTATGGATGTTAGTACGCTAGTCTACAACCTTAATGAATGTCATTAAACTATTGTGTAGTCATAATGAATGACATTGAACCAATGTGTAGTCACAATGACTGAAATTGAATCAGTGTGTAGTCACAATGAATGACATTGATGCAATTGTCATGTTATACTTGTTTCTTGTTTAGCAGCCCACATGAATGAAGAGCCTCAACACTGTTTGAAATAAAGACAAACCAATAAATTAACAACACACTGTATTGCACTTTAATGCATTGGTATGTAGTCACAATCAAAATCCTGCGACTACACACTAGCTCAATGCCAAAAACCCTAATACTGTTGAATGTATCATGGACGTGAATCAGTGTGAATCAAGGTCTAGTTACTTCAATAAATGAGATATCTTAGTGTGTAGTCAAATTGACATGTTGATTCAAAAGAGTATTATGCCGGACTCCGATGAGAGTGGACTTTCCGTGTTAATGAATCAGACTCATTATGCACAGATTTAAGAAAACTTGTTATACCGGTGACACATAGACTTTCATTTACCACACCACGAAGGAATAAAATGGACTACGAAGCAGCAGTTAAATGTGTACGAAAGGGGAATAATAGGATGATGGTACGTAAGTGTCGATATTATATGCTCCAATTAACAACTGACATGATGACCACTGCATTTCGAAGGGAGTTGACAACTATTGAACAATCTACTGTGTTGTCTAATGAACAATACCTATCAGATGAATTATGTCTAATGAAAATTAACAAATGCAATCAGTGTCCAACTGGTTGTGCATATAACGTATATGTGTATGTTGTATTTAATGTTAAGCAATCTCATAGTTTTATCAATCTATTTTGTGTTTTGTTATATCACAACTTTTTCATTGTCACAATCTGTCATTGTCAAATTAGTTACGAAATATTCAATGTGATGTCATTTCATTGTTATTTTAAATTGTCAAACTGAGCCTATATATACTAGCATTCATAATTGTGTAAATGAACCACCAAACAAAACGTATAGGCGCACATCACATACACAATACAACCAAACCAATGAAGGTTCTTCTCCAAGCAATGAACAAAATAGTTCATCTTCGGCTAACAAACATGAACGCTCAACTGACAGATCAACATCACTAAACAAAGTTCCTTTTATTGGATCATATATAGATTCCGCAATGAACCCATCGACCCTTATCACCCATTTAGTCAAGTTGGACATGTAATTATTGGGTCTGTAACTGACTATCCGCCTTTACATGCTTATATCGAACTCACACAAAGATGACGACAATTATATGACAAATGTTGTGACCTTGAAAATTTTGTCGTTGGCATGAACTTGTGGTATTCGCCTGATATTTACGATTCACAGAATTCAAACAATCGTGACAAGATCATATCAAGGCATGAATGTATAAATGATCAAATGCAGTGTCGACTTGATCGTTTGCATGCAATCGAGTATGTAAAAACAGAGCATTTTGATCATGAATATGCCAAAATTGAAATTTTAGAGGATCTGTTACTTGATTTTGATCTTGAACTTTTTGATTTCTCTGATTTGGATGATGATGCGCCAGACACTTTTATCTCGTCATGTTTGTTTGTAATCCATAATCCTTTATATTATTTTGAACATCAACCACGTTATTGACAGTCTTTTACTCCATCAAATACACCGAAAAGTGTTATGAAATAAATGCTCATTTTTTTGTTATGAATAACTTTGATTTTTACATTGTTTACTAAATATTATTGTTGATATAATCAAAATTAACAATAAAATTTTATGTTTGAATGTTCAATTAAAATTAATTAAATGGATATGTTTTCAATGTTTTAAATAAAATTAAATATTCAAAAAACTTATATAAAAAAAGAGGGACAAAATGGGGAAATAACGTTTTACTGAAAAATGTCAATGCAAATGACGTGTTTTAGAAACGTTATTTGAACCAACGTTTTCAATAAAACGTCATTTGCATTGACGTTTTATATGAAAACATCACTTGGATTGACCTTTTTTTCTATTTTGTATGCCCACTGTTGCAACTAAAAAATGTCACTTTGTTTGACGTTTTTTTCTTAAAAAACATTATTTTGAATAACATTTTTAGGTTAAAAATATCATTATAACTGACGTTTTTAAAAGTGCCTAAATTTAAAATATAGTTTGAAAAGAAGTTTCTTTAGGGTATAACTTTCAAAAACCCCAGGGTTAGGCTAAAAGCTCCTGAATTATCAAGCAATCATAACTACCATGTCAGGAAACATGCTCATTGAACACGCTACTCTTGTATAACTCCATTCCATTAAAAAAAAAATAGCGCCAAAAAGAAATGACCCGCACTTCCCTAAAAGCTCCGGTCCATGTAACGGACTAAATTTTACATAGTTGGTTTGAAAGAATCAGAAAGGAAAGAAGAAAACACCCAATGAGTGGGAGAAACAATGGATTGATCGGAGAAGGTCTAGATGAGCTTCAAAAATTTGGCTTTATAAGATGCAGATATACAAAATGTATGTTGAAATTAAGTTAAATTTACATCAAAAAAAGGACATGCTTAATGAAACAATTAAGTAACATGCACATTGAATATCCGTATCAAATTGGTAAATAAAGCATGAGTTGCAACAGAAGAAGTATAAAAACACATGTGGACGCATTTGTGACGAGTTAGAATTAATACCTACTGGAAAGCTGAGATAGTTGCCCATTCGTTGTGAAGATCAATACACACATCAATAAGACCCTACAGATTATGAAAAATGTTTAATAGCATTAGCATAAGGTGAGGCTGCAAAAATAAAAAGATGTACTAGCATATAGTATGGTAGAAGTAGGCGACTAGATTTGCTAGGGAGAGTTAATTCTGTAGGGCGGTGTTTAAAAATGTAATCCCAACTAACTTACTTCAGCACACCCATAATCATTCTATCCCTAGTCCCAATCAACCTTATCCCCCTAAAACATTATCACACCACAATAAGAAGAAGAGTTAATATTCAACTTCCATCAATAGAAATTAAAAATGACTTTATTCTTGAGAGATTTTGAGAAAAAGAGAATCGTTCAAGCTGGACGTGAAGGTGTGATGTAGAACAAAAATCAACAATTATTCTATTTTATTTATTTATTTAGAGTAAGAGTTAATTAGGCATATTCTAGAGTTATTTACGACCTCAACTATTCTTAAACCTGCAAAACTTCTTGGTGACAATCAAAGTGCTATAAAGTTGGCTACTAATCCAGTGTGTCATGCAAGAACAAAGCATACTGAGATCGAGCATCATTTCATTCGTGAGAGGTGCTTAACAGGAAAATTGAAGCATTGGAGGTGCAGAGCAAGAACAACATTGCAGATATCTTCACAAAGTCTCTCTCCAAGGGACCATTCGAGAATCTTCGTGCAGAGTTTGGACTTATTTTCAAAAGTTCACTTTATGGGGGAGTGTTAAAAATTTAAAGTAAACTTTTGGTAATTATTTATTTAAATATTTTATTTTTGAGGGATGTAGTGAGGATTAATGTATTTGAGAATTTCAATATCTAGAACCTTGTAGAATATGCTTCCACTTAGTATCCTTCTTGAGCCTTCTACCAACATGTAAAATCTTCACTTTTCTACCAATGCTCAACACTAAGTTAGAATTCTTAAACCTTCCAAACCTCCACCTACCTTAAGCTTTTAGACCATTTTCTAGTCACCTATAAATAGACTTCCACCAACTTAAATCACCAAACCAACAAAAACAAAAATTACCAACTTATTCCTACTTTCTCTCTTGTAAGTTTTTTTTTTCCTTTTGTAAGCTTTCTCTTTTGTAAGATTTTGATTGTAAGCTGGTAACATAGATTTCTCCATAATAATAACTGTCTTTTTTTTTCCCTCATTTTTTGGAGCTATATTCTAATTTCTTCATTCTTCTTCAACTTCGGTTGCGAGTCTTGGGCTAGTGGAAATTTATTTTTCACTATTCTAAGAAAGCAATTTCTAGAATTTAGAATTTATCTTTCTTCACACGAATTGCTTAAAGAGATCTCGTGCAACCACTTTCCATCATGTTGCACAATGGTACAGCCTTCCAAAAATAGTGTGCGTAAATTACTGCAGGTCAAAAAAAAAAAAAAATTACATCAAAATGCAACAATCACATGTACAAACAATCAACCATGCAAAAGAATTACTTTAGATGTTTGCTCCCCAACAATTAGATAGAGGTTTGCTCACAGTTGCTTCCGGTAATCCTGCAGATATGCTTCCGGACACACTCAGAGATCTCAGGTTCTTAAATCTTAGTCGGAGCCTTTCAGGCGTGGTGGAATAACAGAATGTGATAGTCACGTGATTTCTTGTTTGTCCCTTTGATCGTGTAACTCCCTCGATCATGTAAAGCTTCTTGAACACCAACGACACTTCAGCGCGATCACTCGAGTTTTGAATGAATGGAATGACGCACTGAAAAACATTATAAGCTTTATCACTTAATCCATTGACATTTCCATTCTCCTCCATTCTTTGATTTGCAGAGAGAAATGAAGAAGACGATACAACAAGAATTCTTGAAAGAACAGGAGAGAGAAATTAATATCAAGAACTTCTGTATTTATACTCGCTGTATAACTCCAGTTATAACATTTTGTTATATATAACAGAACTGGGGTAGGCAAGTGGGACATGTGAGATTTGTCAGGCAAGAATTGTTAAGACTTTAAAATCCTCTATTATTTATTTATACAATAATTTAGATCAACACGTAATAAATTTTGGGAAATAAAAACAAAGTGATCCCTTGATCACCAATGAAATGATCATTTATACATGTCTGATTTAGTAAAAAAGTTGGAATAAATATGAGAAATAAACTATTTTTTTTTCTGATTTCATAAATATCAGAGAGTCGTTGTATACTTTGTTCAAAGCTCAGGGTATGTAAATATAATTTATAGTTATTTGTACAAAAAAATTGGGGTCAATCGTACTTTAGAGTATTTTAAGGCTAAAAGTACATATCTTAAATATATATGTCATTAATTTTGTCAAGAGTAATTGCATAGTTTTTAAACTTGGCTCGGACCGGATTAATGGGACATTGGTTCAACTGTGGGTCAATTAGTTGAATTGGTCATATATTTAATTAATATAAAATAATTAGTAATATTAATCAATATACTAAAATATTATAATAGTTATAATAATAACATGGTTTATATTATAATAGATGAACTAAAATGACAAAAAAATCCCCAATTAATTAATGTGCTTACACAATTGATATAATTTGATAGAGCATAAAAGAATTCCTAATGACCATTGAATATTTGGTATAATAGTAACAATGTGATGACCCAAAAAAAAAATTGAAAGAAAAAGAAAAATAGCTCAAAATTGTATTACAAGGCATTAAAAAAATCAAAAGAAGAAAATGGGCAACATAACTACGAAAAATTGTGAGAAGGTACATTTTTTTTGACAGAAACGATAGAATATCTATTGAATAGAAAGATTTGAAAGGAGGAACGACACTAAAAAGTCGGGTATCATATCCTCCATACATCAAAGTGTTCATAACATTTAGTCTTTCTAGCAAGCTGGTGAGCTACACAATTTCCATTTCGCCTAATAGTAGAGACAAAAAAAATACCGAAAACTCTGTACGTAACCTTTAACATCCGCTATAATAGAGCCTATAGGAGAAAAATCCTTACCAGCGTCAACAATTATCTTTATCACGGTAGATGAATCCCTTTCCAACACAATCTCATCACACTCCATTTCCCTAGCAAATGGCACAACTTCCCTTGCAGCAATGATTTTTGCTGTTTGCACCTCACATGAAGAACGAACCTTCTTCGACAATCCCGCAATAAATGCCCTAACAGCCCTTTCAAAATTAAAAACAGTTCCATCAAAATTTACCTTGAAAGATCCTGTTCTTGGGGGAAACCACCAATTTAGGTCAGCCACAGTAATACTCAACCTACCCGACTCCATAGCCTGTTCATATTATTAAAAGTATTTCACAAATTCTTGAGCTAAACACGCAAGGTTCTTTTTCAAATTATGAAAAAGGACTTCATTTCTATTCCTCCAAACTAAACCAGCAGTGCAACATAAAAAGTGAAAAAAGATGGGGCTTAAGCTGTTGAGATACATCCCAAAACCAAAGATCAATTTGGGTCACACAGAGTTGAATCACATGGTGCAGTGGATTGCTGTTACCCCCTTAGTTTGTTTGCTTTGCGTGCCTCGCCCAAAGGCGTCTATGCCTTAGCTAAATTGGGTTGTGCTTGCTGAAGCAAACCCTTAGTGCAAAATTGGCTTCTTAAAGACTTGGAGGTTGTTTGGCTGGTTTACAAAATGGTTCAGCAAAGACGACGTCTATGCCCCCGGCTCAGGTTATTATGACACTTCAGCTCAGAGTATATCTATTATTGTTAGTAGCATTATTATAGCTCAGAGAAGAGGGTGTGAGGCCAACTTCCCCCAGGCCCTATGCCCCTAAGCCTTAGCACACCAAAGCAAGACACGACCCCGACAAATGCTTACCATGGGAGGAGGCAGCGCATGCATGGGCACGTTGGACACACCCAGTGGGTTGATTGAAACCTCATGTATAGTTGTGGGAGGTAACGCATGCATAAGCACATTGGGCACAATTAGTGGGTTGATTGAAATCTCATGTATGGTTGAGTGAGACAACTCATGCATGGGCACGTTGGATACAAGCAAGCAAGGCTAGCTGATGGGCTTGAATTGTGGGGCATTCGGGGGCAGAGTCAGAAATTTTTTTTCGGGTGGGCACACTAGCATGTTTTAATTATTTTTTTAATAGACCGTAAAATGTTCATAAATTTATATTTATTAAAATTATATTTAATACTTTTTAAACATAGAAGATTAAAAATCGATATACTCATAAACAAAAAAATAATACTTAAAACTTCTTATCGAGAGTGCGACTAATTATTATTACTAAAATTGACTCTGGTATGTTTTTATTATTTGAAAGAGTTAAAAATTAATTTTATCAACAATATTTCTTTTGTGTATAAAATCGGGGTAACAATATTCCATTTATGATCCTATAACTTATTACATAGCGACACATTTTTATACAATAACGAAAGAACCCTACAATTTAAAAAAATATAAATTAACATCAATATGTTCAAAACATATTCGGACATGTCTAAAAGTTAATAATTATATTAGTTGTACCTAATTTGAGATTTAATTGATGGAGACCCAATGATTTGTGACTATTTGATAGATAATAGTGTTTATTAAATATTAACATTCACTATTATACTTAATATATCAATGTATTAAGTTCTTAAATTATGTTTCAATAATATTGTTGAAAAAGTTAACAATCATTTAGGTAGGGGTCTATTCAAATCAATATCACAAAAACACAATATTAGGGTGGGTACAGTTAAATATGTCTAAATTTTATTTCAAAAAATACATACTTAATATGAATAAAAAAAAAATTGAGGGGGTGGGGGAGCATAGCCCAAGGGTGGCTCTGCCCCTAGGGGCATTGTTAGCTTGGAAGACCAATCCATGCCCATCCCACGGCTAGGCACGAAGGCAAGCCTAATCAAGTGCTGTGAGCTCACAAGGAACGCATGTGCACAACAAGTGAGGTGATTCCAAACAGTTAAGACATGTACATTGCAAGTGGTGGTAGTTCCGAATAATTATTAGCATGTGCCTAGCATGCAGGGTAGTTCTGTGCAGTTGTTGGCATGTGCACAACATGAGAGAGATTGCTGGCATGTTCATATAGCATGCACAATAGTTATGGACAGTTGTTGGCTGAGTCAGTCAACAGTTGCAACTGCCCTTATCAGCGCATTATGGGACTGGCAAAGGGACTCATTCATGATCAACAGGTTATGGGAAACTTTGTGGGCGAATCTGATTTCTGTTTTGCATTGCCTAGGCGATTGGGCTTGTAACCTCCACATTGTGTGCTATTTATAGACATGCTAGGGTCTGCAGTGCAACAAAGAGAATTTGGGCACGTTTTGTAAGTAGACCCCTAGTTGATTTCTTTTAGGCTTGCTGAGAAGTAAAATGTTTGACCATTTGGCCTGTAAAGCTTGAGTGTCTGCTGTGAGTTTCTGCGTTTGCCCATTATTCTATTCGTGTGTGCATTTCTGTGAACTTACGAGTGCATTTACTAAGATTGAGGATTGGAATTCAGTGTCATCAGAAGGTAAAATTCGAGTGAAAATTTGAATCCCAGGACAACTGCCTTCCCAAGACGTCTTAGCCCAAGGACAGTCCTTAAAAACGTGTAAAATAGATTATGTCCTCTCCTCACACACGCAACACACATTATCCGACCAAATTTTCCTATGCCATAACTTCTCATTTGTGGGAAGAGCATTTAGTACCATCCGCCATACGAAGATTTTAACTTTACTTGGGACTTCCTGTTTCCATATAGCCTTCCTATTACAACCAGAGCTCAAAGACGAGCTTGCTGTGGATGTTCCCAAAGAAAATAAATTACTATCATAGGCAAGGTGATATGCACTCCGAACAGAAAACCTCTCATTACTAGAATGGTGTCATATCAACTTATCATCTATAGGAAAAACGCCTAACAATATTCGTTTAATTACCTCAACTTCATGTTCCATAAAAACTTCCTCGATCAAATGTAATTTCCAAGATCACGTATGTGGGTTAATAAGCTCACTAACTATGGCCTCCTCCTCCAAAATCCGCCTAGGACTCACCACTTGAAAGCCAGTTGGAGTTGGGATCCACCTATCTCACCATATTTGGAAACATCAACAATCCTCCATCTCGAGCCAACTTCAATTACTTTCCTTGCCATTAAAATACTCTGTCATGTATATGATGGTCTGTATCCCAATTTAGCACACATGAATGATGTTGACGGAAAATATCGCCCTTTCAAGACCTTGTGAAAAGAATATTCGTGTCATGAGGAATTCTCCAAGCTTGTTTAGTCAGCATTGCCATATTAAAAGTCCTCAAATCCCTAAATCCCATCCCACCATTTTTCTTGCCTTTGCACATCTCAGACTGCTTAACCCAATGTATCTTCCTCGCTCCCTTCTTTTTTCCCCACCAAAAATTGGAAGCTAGTGATTTCAGCTCACTGCATAAATATTCGGGGAGCTTAAAATAGCCCATAGCATATGTCGGTATTGATTGAGCCACTGCTTTGATTAAAATTTCTTTGCCCGCCTTTGAAAGCAATTGTTCCTTGCACCCTTGCAATTTCTTCCAAACCCTCTCCCTTGTACATGCGAAGACCTCTTTTTTGGACATGATGCCGATTGATGGTAGCCCAAGGTATTTTCCATGTTGTTGAACTCGAGAAACTCCAAGAATAGATTGCAAATCTTCCGCTCTTATCTCTGGAATATTCTTGCTGCACAACATTGTCGATTTTTCTATACTAATTTGCTGTCCCGAAGCCGCTTCATATAGCCTCAAAAGTTCCTGTACTGCATGGGCTTCCGAGA